ATTAAAATAATACATTTTTTATTTTTAAAATTTTATTTTATTATTAGTGTTTGTTTGGGAAAGTGATTGTGATTATTTTTTAAAATATTTTTTTTAAATTAGTGCATCAAAATAATTAAAAAACATCAAATCAAAGAAAAAATTAATTTTTTTTAAAAGTAAAAATATAATAAAAAAATAATTTTTTTAAAAAATTCATATTTTTTATAAACACTATTTGAGCCAGGTTTAAAGAATGATGCCTAAGTCCTGCCATGTTGAAATATTAAAATAGAACCCTACAAAATATATATTTGAGAAATATACCCAGCAGAAATCATGCAACTTCTTGACAAGAATCGGACAGTTCGAATATTGGACTTAGTCGTAGAAAAATAAAAATAATTGGCAGATTAGTTGGAAAATCAAAACTTAAATGCTAATATAAGAGTGCATGTCCTTGCAAATCCGATTTTTAATTCACTGTATCTGTTGTAATTTTGCACCTTTATTACCAAAGAGGAAAAACAGGGTACTTTTCGTGCACTAAAAAGAGCTAGTGATGCACTGCTAGAGATTCCTCGATTACATGTTTGTTTTTTATTTTAAAAATAATTTAATTAATTAATTTATTTATTTTAAATTAATATATTTTTAGTATTTTTAAATTATTTTGATGTATTAATATAAAAAATAATTTTTAAAAAATAAAAAAATATTATTAGGATACATTTTAATATAAAAAATTATTTAAAAAACAACTATAACCACACTTTCAAACAAATTTTACTTATTAAAAAAATTTATTTAATAACTATCTATTAAAAGCTAATTTTATAATCTTAAAAAATTAATCAAAATATATATAAATTCCTAAAAAGAGCTAGCGATGCGCTGCTAGAGATTCCTCGATTACATGTGTTTTTTATTATTTATTTTAAATTAATATATTGTTAGTATTTTTAAATTATTTTGATATATTAATATCAAAAATAATTTTTAAAAAATAAAAAAATATTATTAGTATGTATTTTAATATAAAAAATTATTTAAAAAATAATTATAACCATATTTTCAAACAAATTTTACTTATTAAAAAATTTTGTTTAATAACTATCTATTAAAAAATAATTTTATAATATTAAAAAATTAATCAAAATATATATAAATTAACCCAAACATTCATAACTAAAAAAAAAAATATTCACAATTCACTTAAAAATAACTAGTATATTTTAGTGCACCACAGCAAATTGCTAAAAGTTAAACTTTTCGAAAGTTTTATTTAAAACATGATTAGAGAAAATATTTTATGTCAAATTAAAAATTATATCCATTTAATTTTTATGTTAAAATTTTATTAGAATTTAATTTTTAATATTACTTTTTTAATATAAAATATTAATATAATTTAAATAAACTATAGATAAAGGAGAAATTATTTATAAATAATTTTTTATTGATATATTTTGAAAAAACTCAACTCCTTAAAAATCATTATTTAACAAAAATAAAAGTTTTTTTATGGTTTATTTATTGGAAATATAAAAAGTTAACTAAACCCAAAAAAAATACTCACTTTTAAATAGGAGAGGAACTAAATAAATTACGCTTTGAGTTTAAACGCCTACGTTTGATTGATATGTTTCTGCATCTCCCTAGCTCCGGTCTCTTTCATGCGGTGATGGGACAGCTTCGAAAGGCAACCACTTGATGTCAGCCTAACTCTTGGATTTTAAATGGAAAATTAAAAATTAAACAATTTAAGTACTAGACTTTCGACAATAAATTCTCAACCGTTAGATCAAGTCAGTGACCAGGAAAGGAAACACGCAGTTACCTATGGTCCCTTGTTTTCCGGAATCTATTTTGAAAACCACAACCGCAAAGGCCCAATGTCAGAGATTGATTCGGTGAGGACGAGGCTATTATAGGCCTATCAATGGAAGAAGCTTGATGTTCCCTATTTGAGTCCAAACGGCCTATTAAGGCAGGCTTGGAGGCCCATCAAGAGAGGTTCTTTTGAAACAGCTCAAATCCCCATTCACTTGGATAAACGATTTTCAAAAAATAACGCTGCAATTCGTTCCTTTTCTGGAATTCAAAACAAAATCTTCTACATAACCTTTAATCACAATTCCCCGATTTGTCATAGCTTCTGCCTTTTGGGACTTGACACCAAGAAAACAACTCTGATTCCCTTTCATTTAGAATTTGATTTTCAGCGCCAAGTCAGTAACCAGGAAAGGAAACAAGCTGTTACATATGGTCCCTTGGTTTCCGAAATCTATTTTGAAAACCGCAACCGCAAAGGCCCAATGCCAGAGATTGATTCGGTGAGGACGAGGCTATTATAGGCCTATCAATGGAAGAAGCTTGATGTTCCCTATTTGAGTCCAAACGGCCTATTAAGGCAGGCTTGGAGGCCCATCAAAAGAGGTTCTTTTGAAACAGCTCAAATCCCCATTCACTTGGATAAACGATTTTGAAAAAATAACGCTGCAATTCGTTCCTTTACTGGAATTCATAACAAAATCTTCTACATAACCTTTAATCACAATTCCCCGATTTGTCATAGCTTCTGCCTTTTGGGACTTGACACCAAGAAAACAACTCTGATTCCCTTTCATTTAGAATTTGATTTTCAGCGCAAAACACCAATTATTCATCAAGATTTTGCATGATGATTATTTCAATTTCCTCAGTGTCCAAGCAGGATTCCGCAGCCAAAGCATTCAAAATCAAACACACAAATCGCACTCAAGAGAGATTCGCAAACTTGTAAAATATTCATTTATTCTAAACACTGAATTTCATAGATTACGCCAAATTTAAACTAAATAGATTTTGAAACAAGATAACCCTAACCCACTCTACACTACCAAGGAAACAAATATCCCTTTAACCACCGAACCCGTATAGTGTGCGGCCCTGCCTCTTCAAAGCATACACAACATCCATAGCAGTCACTGTCTTGCGGCGAGCGTGTTCAGTGTATGTCACGGCATCACGAATCACATTCTCCAGGAAGATCTTGAGAACGCCTCTGGTCTCCTCGTAGATAAGACCACTGATACGCTTGACTCCACCACGTCTAGCCAGACGACGTATGGCAGGCTTGGTGATGCCCTGGATGTTATCACGAAGAACCTTGCGATGCCTCTTGGCTCCTCCCTTTCCCAATCCCTTCCCTCCCTTTCCCCTCCCTGACATTTTCTCTCAAAGAATTCCCTGGGTTTGATTTTTCCTTTTCTCTTTTAACTTTTGCGAGATTGTTGAGCTGGAATTTGGGGGGCTGGTTTTATAGGAGGAGAGGAGTTTTGGTGGCCGTTGGATGAGGCGTGGATCTGTGTGAGGGCTGGGTTTGGTTTTTCGGCCGCTGGATTGAGAATTCTTGAATTTGATTGGTTAAAACATGAGGGGGCGGATCGTGTAGATTAGGAGTTTGAAATAGAAGCGGGCGCAAAAAGAGTTTGGAGGGGGGTTTTCCCTCACAGAGAAAACACAAATCATTTTGCCGCCTTTGGTTTACGTAGAATGTCGTTTTGAATTGGATTTTTATTTTACCGCCACGTTGGCAAAGGCTTCCGTAGGTCATGCTAAAACATCAACGATTGTGTAAACTTTTAATAGCGTTGGAATATAACCCATTTTTTAATAGCGATTATATGCAAACTTAATATTAAAAAACATGAAGTTCTATGTGTTTTTTTTTCGATTCAGCGTTTTTGTTTTAATTATTTTTAAAAAAATCATCTTCATTTTTTTTAATAATAGTTTGAGTTGCTTTTAAATAGTTTACATAGCTCTAAATTAATTAAAATAATAATAAAAATAAACATATATATAAAAACTCTAAATTAAATAATTTATATAACTCGTATTATTAAAACGAAAAAATACATAACAAAAACTCCTTGTTTTATGTTATTTTATGTTATTTATTTATTTATATCAATGTAGATTCCTTGTTTTTAAAATTATCTCTATTTAATTTTTATATTTGTGTAAATTTTTAATAGCGTTTGAATATAACCTATTTTTTTTAGATTAACGTGGGTATCCAGACCAGCTTGCGTGCATCATAATTAATTCCACGGGTCCTGAAGTTAACGACCATGTAAACCTCAGTGACCATTATATAAGCAACCAAGACTCGAACCTGAGACCACAGAGGAAACAAACCCCTTAGTCTCAAGTCTTTACCACTTGAACACCACCTAGATGGTTAATATAACTCATTTTTTAATAACGATTATATACAAACTTAATATTAAAAAACATAAGTTCTGTGTTTTTTTTTTCGATTCAGCTTTTTTTTTAATTATTAAATAATTTATATAACTCGCATTATTAAAACAAAAAAATATATAACAAAAACTCCTTGTTTTATGTTATTTATTTATTTATATCAATGTAGATTCCTTGTTTTTAAAATTATCTCTATTTAATTTTTATATTATCATAATTTTTTAGACCTTATTTTTTTAACCTATTAAATTATATATCATCATGTATGACACATGTCAAATAAAAATGGATTTATAACACATATCCCAATATTGTTTTGATATGATATGATGATTTAAAAAAAATTGAGAATTAGTCCATTAAGGACTCATGTAATATGATGATTAATTTGAGTTCTTGTCACTTAAGGACTCGATAAATAGAAGTTTTTGAAACCATAGAGTTGAGATTAGAGTAAATAAAAATAAAAAGATAAACATATACGAAATGAATAGTATAGGGTAGGGACTAATAAAAGGTTTTGAACACCTTTAAAAACAACGATCCAGCTCTCCCCGTTTCCTCCAATCACACCCAAGAACCTAAAATCCAACGGTTCAAAATATCAAACACACCGATCGCACGGATCGACATTTAATCCAATGGCTACCACGCCGCCTCCCTCTCTATAAGACAAACCTCTCCAAGTCTAATCACGGGCAGCTGAAATCATAAAGCCAATTTCAGATTTGAGGAGGGTTAAGGAAAAATGTCAGGAAGAGGAAAGGGAGGTAAGGGATTGGGAAAGGGAGGAGCCAAGAGGCACAGGAAGGTTCTCCGTGATAATATCCAGGGTATCACGAAGCCTGCGATTCGTCGTCTGGCTAGGCGTGGGGGAGTCAAGCGTATCAGTGGTCTTATCTACGAAGAGACCAGAGGCGTTCTCAAGATCTTCCTGGAGAATGTGATTCGTGATGCCGTGACATACACTGAACACGCTCGCCGCAAGACTGTGACTGCTATGGATGTTGTGTATGCTTTGAAGAGGCAGGGACGCACTCTGTATGGGTTCGGTGGTTAGGGGGATCTGAGGATTTTATGTGCTAGTGGTCGATTTAGGGTTTTTATGTGCTTCTTGGGTATGTGGTTTGATAGGCATTAGGCTTCTTCAGCTTTACAAATAGTGGTAGATATCTGATTCTTCTACTTGCAAAACGTCATGTATCTCTCTCTCGATACTTGTTCTATATGAAAAGCTCTTATTTCTTCGTATTTGTGTTTCCCCTCTTGATTAGCTTTAATCTCCTGATTCTACCTTTCAAACTGGGTTCTCTTTGCCCACTGAGAAATTGTATGAAATTAGTAACAAGATTTATGGTTAAAGTCATGTATCTCTCTCTCGATACTCAAATTCATTCGCGCCGCTAAAACGATTTATGGTTAAAGTAAAATTGAATTTGAGTGTTGATTCGGAAATTCAAAGACAGAAAAGGTGGATATATAGTTGCTTATATAAAAAAAGGGACATAACATGTGGTTTTGTTCCGTTTTCATACTCTCCCACTTTGAGCGTGATCTATGTTTTGCTTTTGGCATTCTATAAATACTCATCTGGAATTTCAGTATTCTAGGCAGGCAGAAGTAAGAATCTGAAAGCTGCCGCTTCTGGCTTGGATGCATTGCCATTGGCTGAACCAGAATCATGTTGAACGTTCATACTGGAAATTCAATTGAAATGTTCTTTTTGCTGTCTTCAATGTTGATCTCAATGAAATGATTGTTGCTTTGTGTTGGGTTTTCCAATCTGATTTTGTCTAATTGACCTGCGTTATGCTTCTCAATTCTTTGGAATTTTCTCAGGACAGAAAAATTGGTGAAGACATGTCTTCCGTTCATGAAATTATCAAGCAGATGATAGAGTTTGAAATTGGGTTGCCTGTATATTCATAATACCAAAGAATGCTACAAAACTTGCAAGCATAGATTTTTGGTTGATTCATCAAAAAGAGAAAGTATTCGAAGTTCTTAATTGAAGAAGTTTGGGGTTACGTCAATACAAATGTTTCCAATGGAGGAGGATTGAGATGCTTCAACTGCGTTTACCATGAGGATTTTTATTGGAATTTTACAAGGGAAAGCTGTTCTTAAGTTTAATGGGCTTAAAATTGTAGTAAGGGAGGTTTGATGGCCTTAAATATCAACAACGTTAACAAATTTGATGAAGGCGCCCTATCAAATGCAATATTAAACTATGGATTTCACGGGTTAAGAAACAAAGCTTTTTTGTAGTCCTATTTCAATGTTAAAAAAAATTATTTTGAATTTTTTTAATCTAAATCATGTTTTTTTTAAAAAAAAAAATTTTATTTAAGACTTTGCCGGTATCATAACAGCTCTCACATTAATTTGGCGCCATGTCCCAAATTCAATCTGATCCCTCAACTCACAACAATCCTCGTCCCGCATTCATGACACCGCAAAAGCTTCTCCCAGTCGAAAAATGCTCACTGGGATGCCCCATCCTAGACTGCTGCATGGGCGGAGGCATCCCTTGCAACTCCATAACCGAAATCGTGGCTGAAAGTGGTTCCGGCAAAACCCAACTCTGCCTCCAACTCTCCCTCCGCGCCCAACTCCCACCCTTCCTCGGCGGCCTGTCCGCTTCCTCTCTTTACCTCTACACCGAATTCCCGTTTCCCACTCGCCGCCTCCACCAGCTCTCCAGTGCCCTTCAATGTCAATACCCACAAATATTCGCCAGCAATTATGATCCTTGTGATAATATATTTCTGCAAAGTGTAAACACCGCAGACCAACTGCTCGATATAATGCCGCAAATAGAATCATTTCTTGAAAACTCAAAAACCCGGTTGCCTGTCAGAGTGATTGTGATCGATTCCATGGCTGCATTGTTTAGGGCTGAGTTTGAGAATACAGCGAGTGATCTTATAAGGAGGTCGTCGTTGTTTTTTAAGATATCTGGGAAGCTAAAAGAGTTTGCGAAGAGGTTTAATTTGGTGGTGCTGGTGACTAATCAAGTGATGGATGTTGTGGACTCTGGAGAGGGAGTAAACGAGGTAAGGATTGGGAATTTGAGTGGTATGTATTCGTCTGGACGAAGGGTTTGTCCGGCTCTGGGATTGTCGTGGGCTAATTGTGTAAATTCGAGGTTGTTCTTGTCCAAAGATGAATATGAGAGTGGTTTGGTGGGTGTTGGTGAGAGTGCTTTTCTGTCTAGGGAAACAAGGAGAAGGCTTCATGTTGTTTTTGCGCCACATTTGCCTGATTTGTCTTGTGAGTTTGTGATCAGGAGAGAAGGGGTTGTGGGAGTCAACAGATAAACGAGGAGATGGCTTCACGCTGTTTTTGCGCCGCATTACCCTGGTTTGTCCTGTCACTTTTGTTCCTCAATTTAAGCTTGTATTCACTTCTTTACATGGAGGCTTCGCTCCGGCAGAGATGTGAGATTTTCGTCCATTTCATTTATTCCCTGTGATAATATACAAATGTTATTATCTGTTCTCATCAGTGGTTTCTCATGTTTGTTTTTCCATCTTCAACCAGACCAGCACTTTTACGATGGCTGCACTTCCAGCATGTAAAGGAACCATTTGTATTTAACAGCCAAATATCTTCTATGCTTTTAGATTAGGGGAGCAGACCCATGATGTCAACTCTTTTGCTTGCCCTGATTTACATTAAGAATAGTAGGAATTACAAATTTGAAGAGTTACTTCATAAAACACATTCAGGTCCTTCATTCTTATAAGTTAAGTTCTGCCAACTAATCTTCAGGTTGCATGTAAACTTGACTGCATAGTGTGTGCTAAACATGCAGTCATATCTGAACAAATAAATTTGTGTTGCATGCAAGGAGAGGAGAGTTCTAGGAGTGGTTGGTACAGACAGGTAAGTGATGAACTCAATGTATGCTGACCTACTATATGTTGTGATGTGTTGTATGCATGGAGAAGAGAGAGTAGTGAGGGTCTTGGTGGATCTATTATTAATGGACAGCGCATCTTTGGAGTTCATTCATGAACACACATTCAGGTCTCAGATTCGCCATTCGCAAACTATCGGTTTCAAGTTGACTAAATGCTTGCATGACCTATATGCATAAATACACGCACGCAGAAGTCTTACAAACTCTAATTGCTGATTGACTTTATGCAGCAGAGTGCTCTCATTGTTAGGACTTTCCATAGTCTTTCCAGTTCTCCTGTAATCATGACTGCAAATGTTTCTAGCCATAACCAAGTCCTCTTGCCTTCATCTTGTTCCAGGGAAAAGATGCTTTTTGACGGTATCTCATGGTTTTGATCAACGAATTTTGATTACAATAATAAAGGTAATTTCTTAAATAGGGATGCTAAGTTGTTAAAACATTATTTTACTGCAAGTAGAGGGAGCTTCATCTGGGGCCATATAGTTGGATAAATTATCTACCACCTGTTTATTATCAGGGGTACAAATTTAGAAAGAAAATAAGCAGCCGCTCCATTTGTTCCCTATTCAAGCGGAGTGACAGTAGACCTCACTGGCAGATGCAAAACATTCCAAGACTGATGGTGTTGTTTTTTGGAAAATGACAGTGATGCAGGTTACTATATTCCAATTCTAGATTATCATAGCGTCACCCTTGCTGCTTCATTCCAGGTTTTGCATTGTTTTGGAGTTGGAATCCCACATGAAGAAATCACTTGACCTGAAACAGCCTAGATATGATCCGCACTTCAGCGGTTCAGCCTAGAGTGTAGAGTAGTAGTTACTCGGTACAGATTATTACTGGATATAGAGCACATGACATTTTTACATGTATAAAATGGTTAGGACTGCTACATCAAGAGTCATGCATTTGGTCCCTCGACAATGTCATGATTGGCAATCCTTCCGTTGTAAATTCAGTTTACATATAATTTGGATTTGTGTGAACTACCAAATATTCTTAGGAGCACATTTGAGACTACATGAGTGAGTACATGCAAATTTTCTATGGCTATGGAATCTAAATTAACACTCCATCCTGCTGCTGCTACTCGTGTTTCATAGAGGTAGATTTACCTGGCCCTGAATTTCAAAAACAACATCGACGATGTTGACAACTGTTATCTTCGTCCTTACTGCTTACTGTCTACACTCTAGAAAGAAATTCAGTACCTGCACGCAACATGAATCCTTTCAATTATGCCATTCATAGGAAAGGGAATTATCAGTGTTGTGGTATAATCATTTCATGATGGGAAATCTCTGTAAGATGTGAATTTAATTGAAATGATGTCTCACTCAAATGTTATGCCATCACATTCTGACTACAGGAAGAAAACATATGACTGCAGATTATGAAAGAGGAGGTTTACAAGTCTCTTTTAACATCTGACAATTAAACTAATTAACATCTGGACCGTACTTTTTCCTTTTTTTTTTCTTTTTGAAAAAGCTTAGTTTTTTTTTTAATATTTTTGATATGGTGATATTAAAAATAAAAAGAAAAAATAATTTTTTTTAATATATTTTCAAATAAAAAACACTTTAAAAAATAATCTCACCAGAATCTCAGTCAACTGTTCAAGATTCACATTCACAGACAATATCAAATACTATTGCGAAGTGTTTTGGGGAAATACCAACACTTATAGTCTCCAACCTCCCTCTAAGAACCTCATTTTGATTGGACCAATTCTCAGGACTCAACAATGCATTTCGAGTGGACTTTAAGCTGGGCAAGGCAACGGACTTCTATTTTTATATATATTTATTAAAGAACAATAGAATTGGAGTTGACTGGGAAGCCCTAATAGCAGTTCCAAATTAACGCAGGACTTTACTTGAAATCATTATCAGCGTTCATAAATAGCTTGATGTTGCAAAGTCATTCCTAAGCATCTGTATGAAGGGATGACTAGCCCATTGTAGCAGCACACAACAATGAAAACTTGTTGCCCTAAGCCACATGAATAATACTGATAAATCCATGACTCTGAGAGACTGGTTTCTACTGCATGTCTAAAAGCAAAATGGGCTACCAATTTGAAACTATCAATTGCTCTACTGTTCCTCAATTTGAAACTTCTGTTTTGCTATAGAAATAGACTTTTATAAACATGAATAGATCTTATGCTATACAAGTTTCAAGAGGAGAGATAGTAGCTGCAAAAGATTCACGTTCCAGGGGTACAAGAATTACAATATGCCCCCATATCAAAAGACTTTTGTGTAAAAGCAATGTCAATGGCAGCACATTTCAGCTCTTTACCTAATATGGGTTAGTTGGAGCCTACAAAAGCATGAAATTGAGTGCAAAAATACAGAAGCATCAAGACTTCCAATTTTGTTTACATAAATGATCATCACAAGTTTCAGAGTGGAATATGGGTCAAGATGACAAGTCGCTGAAAAAAAGGGGACCAAAATTCCTTGTAACAATTGTCTTATTTCCGAAATAAGAACTGCAAGTAAACATTCAAAGTCACAATGTCAGTGTTTCATGGTAAATTGTCATCATTTTCTCTCAGAGTTGGCATTGTGGAATATTATTATCATCCGCCAACAAGTAAATGCCATTACATCAGTTTTATATTTTCATTATAATCTCATAAGAAGAGCTCATAGGCCATTACAATAACAAGCAATAGAATTACCTTTCACCTCGACAATGAGCAGTGAAAACAACCTCTTCTCAAGCTGAATAAACTAGAAAAGGCACTGCAGAGAGAGTAAAATTAATAACCTTGATCGGTTTAATGTTTAACAAGGACTCGAGTATAGGCAATAAAAAAAATCAATTGCAACAGTTCTCTCTATCATAAAAAGACAGGCACACAAATTTCCAAGCTCTTTCCTTCACAAATAGAAGAATGGCTAAACCTCAAGTAACAAAATAAGGGAGGGACAAGTGATCCAGTGATCCATATCAATCAAAGGATGGATTTTTTACACCTAAATGCATGAATTGCAGGTGTTTCCATGATGTTCTGTTCCCTTTTCCTTTCTGCTTTCTAACAAAAGAGGCGGCTATGATGGTAACATTTCATTCAATTTTGCTTCATGTCTTGCACCTAGATGCCTTTCAAACACGGTTATTTAAAATGCTCCCTTGAGCAAAAATAAATATTTCACAAGACCAAAATCTTGTCCAGACACGTGTGAAGTAGGAAATGTCAAAATGGTAATGGTCAGGGTTTCAATGCAAAGTAAATACTTCCAAAGTAGGTTCTTTTATAGAGCTAAAATAATGTAAAAATTACAAATGACCTAGCAAAGTTGACAGAATAATCAGATATTTCACACTGATCAAAGAAAGAAATCCCTTGTCATGTGCGGGGACCAAATTGATGAGAAAGAGCTCCTACTATCTAAAAGATTGAATGCTTGTCTGACAGAAGATGAGCTTCAGAAATTTTGGATTTGACAATGCTGGTTAAGAAATTACATAGAAGTAGACACATTCCAATGAGATGTTAAAAACGGTACATCCTAGATGTTGGATATCATATTTCACAGCAAGGACTTTCAAGCTTAACCTTGTAACTTGAAATGCATTTTCAATAAGATAATCCAAACAATTAAAGGAATTCCACCATAAAATGATGGCATGAGGACAAGGCCGTTGGTAGTTGCTTGATCAATGAAGACATGGTATCATTATAGCATTGTCTGTAAGCATTTGTTGATCTAATAGCCAGACAGCATGCTGTGCAGAAATTGCTTTTGGATATGCTAAATATCCAAACATAACCAACAAATGATAGTTCCAAGAAGCTAATGATTTTAAATTAATGGAACCAAGTCTTCTGAGAAGGCTAAAAGTAAAAATGAAATATCTGCCTAGTTCAATATGACATCATTAAGCCAGTAAATTGCATTTAACTACCCAGCTTCCTGGTGTACATACTTGTTCAGCTGTGTCCATTATACCAAATCATTCCCATATATTGATCAGTGGGCTCAAATTAAGTGTCCAGTACCAATTGCTGGCTTTGTGCTTTGACCAGAGAGCAGGAGGGGAGAACAAAGAGAGTGATGGCTGACAATCAATTTTCAACCAAAAGAGTGCATGGAGTTCAAAAGAATCAAGAGCTTACCAATTAAGAAAATGCTGAGCATTAAAGCAAGAGTAAGTTGGATGGAACAGCTGAACTGCAGGTGCAGTGGAGGTTGCAATTGCCTTTGGAGACCACCTGCCTGACCAAAGAGCTGCCAAAGGTTAAAATTTTATAAGATCTCCTGGAAAGGTACCAAAACATGATGATCTGCAACCATAGAAAACTACAGATCTTGACAATTGTACAGGTATTGATCTATTTAGGTTGACAACAGTATGAGAGATCATCCTTGCCCTTTTTCTTTTTTACTAAAGGGTCATCTTTATTTCAGACAGATAACATCCATTTTCACATCCCATAAGCAAATAACTATTTTACCTTATTGAACAAAGTAATCGATCCCTTTGCCCGAGAATGTTCTCCACACCTTTGCTTCCAGAAGAAAGGTTTGTACCCTTTTTCTTTAGGAGTGGCCTCAACACTTGACATCACTTTATCCCTTTGTCCATCGTCCTGAGCAATCACAATTTTCAAAGCACCAAAATTTGGTGAACTCCATGTTCTCCTTGAGCCAATTGTTTTATCAACTTGACAGATTATGTCATCCCTCATTCCAAGATTTTCTTTCTCTTCTATATCTATAATATGCTCATTTTTCTTATTAGTAATGAATTCATTTTCATCCGAAGCACCTCCACTACAGTTGGCACTCGTGTTATGGTCCAAATTTCTTCTCTTATGATGGTTCTCCCCAAGAGAACCTTTCATGGGAGATCTTAGTGTGGTGCAATCATCTTTCACAATCTGTGGAATTTGGACAGTTCCAGATAGAAACATCGCTAAATCATCACATTCTTCTTTATCCAGATTCACCCATCGAAGAGGTTGCTTTCCTTCCCCACGAAAAGCTTCCCTTAGTGCCGCTTCAACACGAGATATTTGACTTTCAATAGCTGCGACAAATTGTTTATGCCTAGATGCTGTGATATCATCAGAACGATGTCCATGGCTCAACCAAACAGCCCTCTCAAACTCTTCCAACTGTTTTAGAGTTCATAGATCAATGATACAAGGGAATAAGAGAGAGGAAAAAAGAAGAGAACCATTTACAAAAAATAAAATAAAATGAGCCACCTATAAGAATTGAAATCACAACCTATATTGATTTCTTTATGCTCAGCTCAGATTGGTTGGCTAGAGATTGCGGTAAAAGGGGGAAAATATTTTGATTAATAATGATGATAAGTGAAATTTAGCAAAGAGCATAATATCCTAGGGATTCAAAGTTGGATGACTTGGCGCTTGCTTTTCAATTGTCAGAAATGTAAAAAATAGCAAACATAGAATTGACAATAGTATTTCCTTCACCTGATGTTTCTTACAGACCAATCATGTGAAGTTCACAAACAGAAACTATAAGCAACGTTCAATAAACTGATAAGCAGTTTAAATAAATGAATTTAGGGAAATATGTAAAAAAATTAAAGATTCAAGATGTGAAATTATACCTGCCACTTGGCAGTTCCTAAAGCAGTTTGGAGCTCTCTGGATAGTTCATCCAAATCCTCTGGTTCTGATCCCTCTCTCTTCTCTCTTGTCCACACTCTATATGCTGACTCCATTCTGCCAAACACCAAAACAACCAATAAAAACCTCAAATTTCAATTCACTAAAAGTCTACGAATAACTATCAAATTTGCAGCACAAGAATAACTTGCTGATTTCCTAGAATATACAGCTCCCTGCCTTCAACAGAAAACCCGTATAATTGTCAAGTTTGCAGCGCGAGAATTACACAGTAGATTTCATGATCCTGGAAAATCAACTACTACCAAGATAGGCAGATATAGTCATGCACTGCTAAACAAACCACACATTTCCTTCTTACTTCATATCATCAGGACCTGAAAATAGAAAAGCTAATGCACAAGTCCTCGTATTTTATGCCAAACTTTAAATTGAAGAACTTGACATCATAACACATGTAAAAACACACTCCATCACTTAAGCAGAAATTCCAACCAGAAAACAAACCCAAGATCCACTAGACAAACCTTCTAAAACAAAGCAATAAATACAGGTCTTGAAAACCTCACAAGCAAAGCATATCATAAACATCAGTGTGCAGCATGCAAAACCCAATTCAAGAAAATTCAGTCACACCCAAATCATAACGAAGCCCCATAAAAATGGAGAAATCAAACAAGCCCAGCTGCCAAATTCTTGTACCGAACTGCATACAGAATGTAAAGCATGAATTGAAGAGAAATGCAAAACGTACGCATCAGCAGATTCCTGAACCTCCTCTGCAGCAGAAAAGAAAGCATCCTTTTGCCATAGATCGAAACTGTTTGCTACCATCATCTTCTTCACTTCAAATTCAACAAAAAAACAAAAGCAATTCCAAATCCTTTCAACCACAAATAAAGAAACCAGAAATCAACAAATATGCTTTGTTTTTTCTTTTCTGTTTTTTCTTGGACAGATAATGCTTTCCTTTTGCTTCCTCTCTCTCTTCTGGCTTCTCTCCTCTCTTCCGTGCTAAGAATGAAAGAGAGAGAAAGCAAACAGAAGGAATGAGAGAGAGAGTTTGCTAAAACGTCTCTTTCTTTCACCTGTTATCTTCTCTCTCTTTTAAAGGTTTTTTTTAAAAAAAAACAAAAAAAACAAAATATGCCTCCATTTCTTCCTGGGCGTGCGTGCTCGTGCTCTGCTATATAAACGATTATGCTATTATTTAATTTATTTTTATTATTTTTTCACTCTCATTTTACTCGTTTCTATTAAAAAACTGGAATAAATGTAAGTGGTTCTATCTGCTCTTCATAGTTTCTTTCTTTTTTCTTCATAAAATAGATACTACTGTTTTTTTTATTATTATTATTTATAATTGATAGTAATATTTTCTTTACACGTTTTAGAGGCATTAAATTTTATTTTTATCCAAATTAAACTTCATAAATACTAATATCATTTAAATATCTTATTTTTCATTAGTAAGTTATAACATTACAAGTTAACTAGATTTGAATTATAAAAATAAATCAAATGTTAATTTTTTCAATTAAAATATGTAATTATTTTATCTAATGAATTGTTTGTTATTTATAATACTTATTATTGCTTGTCCATCTACCCGTTTAAAGAGTTTTTTTAATTATTTGATCTGTTGAAAATTTTTGTGAGTATTTATAATTATAATAACTTTTATTTTTTAATGTCTTTTAAGAATATATTTCTTATAAAAAATATTTTTTTATAATTTTAATATATTAGTATTAAAAATAAAAAATTATCTTGATATATATTTTCTAAAGAAAACAATGTAATAACCAAGACACTTCGCTGGCGGGCTCTGTTTGGAGATTAGGTATTTTGTTTTTTATTATTATTATTATTATTATTGTTTGCAGCAATAAAATAAGAAGATTTAAAGAAATGGAAGAACGGCGGTAACGGACAGGACAGGGAGATGGAGGCGGTGGTGGGCTGCCCATTAGCTATAAGCCAGTGCATTCTTTGTCATCGGCCAGCCTACACTTGCTCACGTGGATTAATATTCTCTGTTTAATTATTCTTTTGGCCACAATTTCCACTTTAATCACATTAACAATCTGTCAATCCCTAATTTCAAGGGATATAAACGACGTGAAAGGAACTGTTAATTATGGTTAGTGAAGGAAGTAATAATATTAATGAGAAATAGGGAAGATATAAACATTTTTTAAGAGTTGATATAAAAAATATTATTTTTAATAAAAAACATTTTTATAAAAACTGTTGAATTTATTTATTTATTTATTTTGTTATAAAATCCGAAGAAAAGAGTAAATATTTGGCCTAGAAAAGACGAGCGCAGGCCCCCATGGTGGCAGCTGGTGGTCTTGGTTGGTTCCTGTTTTTATTCCCTTATGGGGTTGATTTGTCGGCACCAACCAAGACCACGTTTGGGTTAATTAAACATGATTTGAGGTGGCAGTGGTTTCTATTTCTTGATTTTGTCGGTTGCTAATTTAACTTGAGGAAAATTCTTTTCTTTTTTTTTGTATTTAAAGCATCGTTCAGATGATCTCTTATAACTCAAGGGGCGTTTATTTTCTGTAAAATATCTTTTAATGACACTATGAGTTATAACGATGAATTAATAATGATGGTGCTTGTGGAGTCAGGTAGGGGTGGTGTAAACAACGATGCCAGGTGGTGATGACGACGGAGACAATGGTAAAGATAATAGAATAATATTGTGAATTGATTAGTATTTTATAAATTTTAATGAGTTTAAAATATTCTTAATTAATGAATAAATTGAATTTAAAAATTAATTATAAAATACTTTACATTAATTAATTTTATTTTTGTAAATTATTATACAAGAAATAAACACAGTTAAAAATACATTTTTTATTTTATAAAATGTTCAATACAAGGATTTACACATAACCATGAAAGATTTAATAAACTCTTTCAATTCTTTTGAGCATGAATAGGACGGTATTTGTGAGCGTGGTTCAACTATATTTTTAGAATTTATTTTTTAATATTTTTATTATTATTTATGTGTGTTAATATTAAAAATAAATTTTTTAAACTAAAAAAAATTATTTTAATATATTTTTAAATAAAAATTACTTTAAAAATTTTTCTCATCCATTATCGAAAACACACCTCAACATACTCAGGATCAGATTTAATTTTTCTATGTAATTTTTCTCATCCATTGTCAAAAAGACACCTCAACATGCTCAGGATCAGATTTAATTTTTCTATGTAAAAGTAGTCTTGAAATAATATCAGCCACACATCTAAATGCAAAGAATGAGCTTGCCCTCTCTAAGACCACAGAAGGCAAACAGTACATAAAGGTGAGGTGCACTCTCAGTGGTGCTGAGAAGGGGAGAATAAAAGGCTCACAAATAATAGCATTGAATAAAACGCCACAACCAAAATCAGATGACTCAGATCTCATGCTTCATTAATTATAAAAAAATATAAATAAAAAAATAAAAAAATGTGATTGATTGAGATATCAGACACCAAAAGACCATTGAACCTTGAGCTCTTATTGTAAGACTACAAGATTCATGCGTCATGATCAGTATGGCATAAAAGCCTGTCAGTATTATTTAAAACGGAAACAGCTTGCTCCATGGAAGACGTCCCGAGCTAAATGCTGATCAGGGAAATCTTTACCTGTTGGCAAGAACTGTGTCGCCAAGACTTTTCATTGCGCTATTAAAAATATATTTAGTATTGTGATTGAGTATTGTGATTGTTATTGTATTTATAATTTTAAAAAAATTATTTTATAAAAAAAATAATTAAAATTGATTTAATATTTATATATATTTGGTTAAAACTATAATTAAAATTAAAATAAAATAAAAAATAATTTAATATATTTAGTTAATAATGTTTTTGAAATTGAGATTATAAAATAATTTAAAATATATATATATTAATATTGATGGTTTTTAATTTAAATATTATAGGTTTAACGATTATTATTACATCATGAAATAAATAATATTTTATATAAAATATTTTTATCATTCCATTAAACTATATACAATTCCATCACGTATGAAATACATCCGACAAGAACTACAGTTTTTTGGGTTCTTAAGCGCACAACAACATCAAGTAAAATATAATCAGAAACAAAATTGATAGCGATCAAATTCTATAAATACTACGTCATCGAGCGATCTATGTCTAATGTATGTAGTGTCATTGAATAATGTTAAGTACTATAAAAAATATTTTTTATTTTACTGGGTCAGACCAGGTTCAATGCATGTTAAACTTTGGACCAGACCCGATCCAACCAGAATAGTGGAGCTGGCTACACTATTCGGTGAACAGTGAAAAATACTACGTTGTTCATGCTAATTGCATTGTTCAATGAACAATGCAATTAGTTTAAACAATGCGAAGAAGCAACAATTACTTGCTTTTGTTTCCCTTGCATTTCGAATGCAAAAATACAGTGGGATTCATAAACAATAAACTATGTTGTTACTTTACCAAAAAGATTGCATGTGTGTTTTAAACAAAACGCAAATGCAACCTTTTAAACAAACACTACCTAAAGGTTTGGTAGAGGTTTTTAAGAGCTTTTTTTATATTCTCTAAGTTTGAAACCTCTTAATTTTACAAGTAAATTTAAAATATCAAAGAAAGAGATATCAAAATCGAGCCAATTTAGAAAACACGTACAAAGCAATCTATAAAACATGAACTGCACAAAAATAAAATTACAATGGCTTTGTTGTGCGGGGCAGGACTACAAGTCCAATAACAAGCTATAATAAAATATATTTAATAGCTCATAAAAACTCTACTTGGACTTAGGCTTTGCTTATGGATAATATTGGGTTGTAGATATGATCGTTATTTGTAAAATAGTATTGGGTTGTAGATATGAGTGTTATTTGTAAAATAACACCTAATAGCTAAGTTAGTGATGTGTTTGAAGGGTGTTTCTTGTTTTTTAAAGAAAAATATAAAAAGAGTAATTACATGTATATTATTGTGAATAAGAATATTAACCTCCTTCTTCTTCATTTTACTTTGTTTGTATAGCTTACCCCAGAAAAAAAATATCAGGACTATCTCATTCTAAATTATAGATAACTGAAACAAGCATACCTCTTCACATGCATGCTTTACTATGTAATAGTTGAATGACACTAGTAAAGCGTATATAAAGGTATAGTCTACACAATGTGATATCATTTTGGACATATGATGAGTGGTTGATATGAATAATAATAAACTAGAAAGAAATAGGAAAGAGAAAGGGAGGAAAGAGAAGAAGAAGACTGAGTTGTTCGATTGAACCAAGTCTAAAAAGAGTCAAATTGAGCCTAATATAAGCTCAATCAAATTCAATTTGACCAGGGTTAAACCAAACCCCATGTTAGACTAGTTGTGACCATGGTCAAACCAAGCCCAATATGGGTTTGATTGGGCTCCGTTTGACTAGGGTAAAGCCAAGTTCAAAAAAAGTAAGACTGAGCCTAATATGGTTTTGGTTGGGTTTAGTTTGGCCAGAGTCAAACCGAATCCCATATGGAGCTAGGTTTGACCACAGTCAAACCAAACCCAATGCAGACTTGGTTAGGTTTGGGTTGAGCAGGAACAAACCAAGTTTAAAAAGAATCAAACCAAGTCCAAATGTAGGCTTGGTTGGCTTCGATTTAACTAGGGTCAAAATGAACCCTTTATTATGCGATGTTAAACTGTGGTCAAACCGATCCTAAAGGAGTCAAACCCAACCCATGAGCTTAACTCAAACCTATGCTAAATCCTTTTTTTTTCTCCAGCTCATATCATCATATACATTTAGTTAATTTTTTAACATTTTGTTAAAAAAATGAATTGCACATATCGTATTATAATGTGAGTGATGATTTTTCGATATCTGATAATACATGCCAAGTCACGGTCCTCCTTGAACAAAATAATGCTTGCCACATAAATATGTAAAAGTTGTTGATGGGTAGACACTTCACTTGTGAGATGAACCCGTGTAACTAAGAGTGAACACTTGTCTTGACATATCAATAATGTACATTACTTGTGTAGGGGTCGACAATGAAAAATGAAGAAAAAAAGGACCAAAGACATTATCATATGATCAATCCTCAA